TAAAGTATTCATTCATTCGTACTGAATGTGTGAAAATGTAGGCCCACTTGCACAGTATTAACACAATAATAGTTATATTTACTTGCTTTTATTAATTTCTCTTTCAACTTTTACCATTTTTATCTACTTTTGTGTAACAAGGGTAAAATGGATCAGCTGTGAGCACTGACCAGCCAATAAGAAGCTGGTCACATGATTGACATTTAAATATACCACAAACATGATTCCTGCACGACTCAATCTGCAGCGTTTCACTGATTCACTGTAATCCAGAGTATAGAATATTTCTCCTGCCTCTACATCCAGAGTATAGAATATTTCTCCTGTCTCTACATCCAGAGTATAGAATATTTCTCCTGCCTCTACATCCAGAGTATAGAATATTTCTCCTGCCTCTACATCCAGAGTATAGAATATTTCTCCTGCCTCTACATCCAGAGTATAGAATATTTCTCCTGCCTCTACATCCAGAGTATAGAATATTTCTCCTGTCTCTACATCCAGAGTATAGAATATTTCTCCTGCCTCTACATCCAGAGTATAGAATATTTCTCCTGCCTCTACATCCAGAGTATAGAATATTTCTCCTGCCTCTACCGTCCACCATTTTGTCTCTTAGGGAACTTTGAAGTCTCTAAAAGTCCTCCTCTCAACTCTTCAGAGATCTCACCTTAGGAACTCTCTTAAGAGCTGGGATTCTTTAGGAATAGCTTTTATCTTAACTGGGATCTGCTCCTCACTTTTAGGGGAAATTCTAAGAGTTGGTCAAGATTCTATGAAAATCCTTAGAATTTGGCCACTAGGAGCAACTTTTATCACTAAGAATCTTTAGGAATACGGCCCCTGGTTTTTATTTAGTGAAACTGAATGTTGTGTTGAACTGAAAGGGCAGGACGTACAACATGCGTTTATAAAAGTTAGATAGAAATTAGTTAGGATAGTTAGGAGAAATTCTGGTGTTCTGTAGCAGCAAAAATAAAAAATAAAATTGACCATTCTAAAGAGATAATATAAATAATCGCCAACAGTCCTTCAGGTCACTGCCGCAGAGGTGGAGTAGTCTCAGGGTGGAGCAGGACAGGTCACAAGGTGGAGCAGCCACTTGGTTCGGACCATTTACTCCGCCCTAGTCCAAAGTAAAATGCTAAATGCCTCATTAGCATTTAGCAAATTAGCAAATCCAGTGGATTTGAGAAAAATCAAGGAATCAAAAAAAGCAAGAGAAATAAAAATGGTAAAGCACAAAACAACTGTTTCAGAGCGACTTAGGACTTCCTGCCGTTTCCCAGAGCATTGTTTAAAAAAAAAAGTTCACAGAGAGGACGCGATCTTCTCACAGCATGACTCTGCTCTGTGCTCTCTGCTCTCTGCTCTGTGCTCTCTGCTCTGTGCTCTCTGCTCTGTGCTCTCTGCTCTGTGCTCTCTGCTCTGGCTCCAGGAAAACGTTTGTGGTCTGTCCTGACACACTCCCTCCTCTCTCCTCCTCTCTCTCCTCCTCCATCTGTCCTTCCTCTCTGAGCCTCCACTCTCCACCTCTTTCCCTCCTCTCCCTCTCACCCCTCCCTCTATCACTTCCTTTCTCTGTCCCATCCTCTGAGTCCGGCCTGAAGCAGGGTTGTTCTCCTGACTCTGTGTGGGCTCACTTGTTCTTATTCTTTTATCTTCTTATTTTGTGAAAGTGGGGGGCGGCAGCTCTGAATCCCCTTGACCCAGAAATGGATGATTAAAGGGATGAAAATGTAATGTAATATAATGTAATTTTGTGAAAGTAAACCTATACATTATTTTTTTTTATCATATTAATGTTTACACAACTTTAATTTAGGTTTTTTGTAATTCTTTTTCAAAGTTGGGAATGTAATTGAAAGCTGCATTCTTTTTTTTTGTCCAAATACACGTCACTGTAGCAAAAATACACGTGGGTTGTATTTTCAGCTTAAGAAACGTTTGTATTCATATATATATTCATAACATGTCTTTGTTGTGTTTGTTGCAGATCTACAAAGTCCATCAACAGAATGAGGTTCACCTGTGATCAGTGTGGAAAGACCTACAGCTCTGCTTCTAATCTAAAGACCCACTACAGAACTCACACTGGAGAAAAACCATTCAGCTGTGAGTGTGATATAAAGCACACACAGAAGAAAATGTCCATACATGTTGTAGAATGCTAAAGTGTCCTGATCATCACCAATCCTTTCTGTTGGACACTAACTGTCCAACAAGACCCTCCTGCATCGACAAGGAAAAACTCTTAAAAAACCCAGTGGGAAAAAGTGAGAAACCTTGGGGAGAACTAGGGAAACCCACAGGGAGGGAGACCCATATGAGAAAGGGATCCACTCCTCCGGACGGACAGACTAATGATCCAGGACCTAAGCTAGCTACAGAACGTGGACCAGTGGCCGCTCCCAGGCGGGTCGGGCGGGGCAGTACGCAGGTGCAGATGGAGGAGACCAGCCTCAGAGATCCCGTCATCGTACCATGAAACAGACAATGGGACAACGGGTGAATAGCAATGAACAAACTACAGTCAAAATCCTAATAATGCTAAACAGATAAAGTAGGAAGGAGGAGAGGATAGTGCTCAAGTTACCATACTTCTCCAGCAGGGGGCTCCCTATGCAGCTTGACTGACACTCTGAGGAGTTTAGCCTTCCCTGAGTCTTACCTTCCTAGCCATATGCTAAACTAAAGAGGACTGTTTTAAACCTAGCCTTGAATAAAGAGAGCGTCTCTTAAAGGGCCCATATCACGGTTTTTGACTTTTCTCTGCTTTAAACATGATTTCAATGCTATTTGGCCTTCATACACAAGCCCACAGTAGTTTATTCATTGATTCTGTCAATCTTTTGTAAGAGAACAATCTGTCTCCTTCCCCAGCGTGAGGCACAGAAACGCTCGGGTCCACTTCAGTGACGAAAACCACACTGATGACGCGCATGACCCCGTTTGCTTTGTATTTAAAATAGTTGTTAAATACTTTTGTCAAAACGGGGTAAACAATACACAATTAGTATGCTGTTTTTTGTCAAAAATAATGAAAATAAAAATAAATTAAAAGCCGGCGGGAGGTGATTGACGGATCAAAACAGCGAATCAGAGCGCACAGGCTCCGGCTCCCGAGTCCAGCGTCTGTGGTCTGGTCTCGCGGACACCACATAGAGCTGCTGTTTTTATGCTTTTGTCAGAAACTGAAAGTGTTAGGATCACGTCAACTTGAATGAAGTGTGTTATGGGTGTAAATATGTGACACACTATTTGGCCCTAAGAGGAAGAAAGCGGCTCGACTTTTTTCATCTGTTCATCTCATGGATCTATTATAAACCGGTTCATCTGCGACACTTCACTGAGACTGTTCCAGAACTACAGGGACAATGGAACTGGACTTACTCAAAAGCTGATCTGGAAACACGTTATTCCCACGGTAAAAGACGTAACTCAGACCCCCTCGATCTGTAAGTAGTGACGCTAACTCGCTGTATACTTCTGTAAACTAAATAACTAGGGTCTGATTGTGCATCGAGGACATAGGGCTCGATGTGACGGATTGTCATTGTTGGAAAAAGTTTATTCTTATGTATGAAATGACTAAGTACAGGTGATAAACGACAAAAGCGTGATGTACGTCAGCGTGCGGGCGGGGGGAGGCGGGCTCACAGGCAGAGGAGCAGACAGCTCTAATCTCACAAGTTTTGAGTGTTGTGTGGTGTATCACACACATTAATATCACACATGTGTATAGGATTGACTGTGAAACATGAAGAAAAGCCTGATATAAAACCTTTAACTAAGATAACATTTTATTGCTACATTTCTTTTTCACAGCAAAGTGCAGTGGTATTTACTCACACATTAGACATGTGCTATTTCCTTTGTATCCTCTCACATATTGGTGTGAAAACTGAATTTCTTGCTTTAATGACAGGTTCAGAGCATGTTTGTCCCGCGGGTCAGGAGATAATCATGTGGTACTTTTATAAACATTTCTGGACAGTGGTCCCTGCTCCCTATGAGTTTGTTATTATCGTATTGAATGTGTTCTAATCGTTTATTTCTCTGATCTGTTGTTGGCGAAGAGACAACTGTGTAAAGTCCTCCGAGACGACTGCTGCTGTGATTCAGGACGATACACATAGAATAGAACCGTGTCGTTCACAGTCGGAGATAATGCTAATGCTAATGCTAGTAGTTATTTGTTCCAACCTCTCAGTCACAGTTTTGTCACCGAGAGTTTTTTTCTATTGTGAGAAAAATACATAGAAATGACTTTCTTGTCCTAGAGGCACTTTGTCTTGGTCTCAGTGCTGCAGTTGTTTATACAATAATGGACCAAACATTCCAGATTAAAATATATAAACAGGAGGTGAACGTGCTCCAAGAACTCTGGGTTAAAGTAAACAGATGAATGAATGTCCATTGAACAGACAGTAAAAGATGCTAGCGGCCTGTGGCTAATGCTAACGCTAACAGCACTAGCATAACACACACTCACCGATCGCACGGAGCAGGAGCAGCTGCGGTGGTAGAAGGAGCTCTACACGGGGATCATGCAGATGTTCCCTCTGCTCCAATCAGCTGCTGAAAAAACAAACACAACTCATCAGTCTCTTTGACTCAAACACACGCATCAAGCACACAGCATTATCTATTGGGTAAACAACAATGCACTTCCGGTTTGACCCTTCAGTGTAAGAGCATACACACATATACACACGACAACAAACTGACCACGAGTGGCGCGCGCACTGGCTCGAGAGGAACACACCACGACCTTCATAACTCGTTTTACACAGTATTTTACACTCTATCTTTTAGGTGTCTTAGGTATTTTCAATCAATCAATCTATCAAATTTTATTTATAAAGCGCTTTTCATACAAAAGTGCTTTACAGTTTGGTTAAAAACAATCCTGCCGGCCCATGACGGTCCGTGTACCTTGCGTTCAGTCTATTTATCCCAAATAAAAAATGAAATTTGGGGCTTTTTCTGTTTTCTGATTAAGCAGGCGGGTCGGGCAGTCTTATCATGTTGTCCTCTGGTCCCTGTCCTCTGGTTCCTGTCCTCTGGTCCCTGTCCTCTGGTTCCTGTCCTCTGGTTCCTGTCCTCTGGTTCCTGTCCTCTGGTTCTTGTCCTCTGGTTCCTGTCCTCTGGTTCCTGTCCTCTGGTTCCTGTCCTCTGGTTCCTGTCCTCTGGTTCCTGTCCTCTGGTCCCTGTCCTCTGGTTCCTGTCCTCTGGTTCCTCTCCTCTGGTTCCTCTCCTCTGGTCTCTGTCCTCTGGTTCTTGTCCTCTGGTTCCTGTCCTCTGGTTCCTGTCCTCTGGTCCCTGTCCTCTGGTTCCTGTCCTCTGGTTCCTGTCCTCTGGTTCCTGTCCTCTGGTTCTTGTCCTCTGGTTCCTGTCCTCTGGTTCCTGTCCTCTGGTTCCTGTCCTCTGGTTCTTGTCCTCTGGTTCCTGTCCTCTGGTTCCTGTCCTCTGGTTCCTGTCCTCTGGTTCCTGTCCTCTGGTTCCTGTCCTCTGGTTCCTGTCCTCTGGTTCTTGTCCTCTGGTCTCTGTCCTCTGGTTCCTGTCCTCTGGTTCCTCTCCTCTGGTCTCTGTCCTCTGGTTCTTGTCCTCTGGTTCTTGTCCTCTGGTCCCTGTCCTCTGGTTCCTGTCCTCTGGTTCCTCTCCTCTGGTCTCTGTCCTCTGGTTCTTGTCCTCTGGTTCCTGTCCTCTGGTTCCTGTCCTCTGGTTCCTCTCCTCTGGTTCTTGTCCTCTGGTTCCTGTCTTCTGGTTCCTGTCCTCTGGTTCCTGTCCTCTGGTTCCTCTCCTCTGGTTCCTCTCCTCTGGTTTCTGTCCTCTGGTTCTTGTCCTCTGGTTCCTGTCCTCTGGTCTCTGTCCTCTGGTTCCTGTCCTCTGGTTCCTGTCCTCTGGTTCCTCTCCTCTGGTTCCTCTCCTCTGGTCTCTGTCCTCTGGTTCTTGTCCTCTGGTTCCTGTCCTCTGGTTCCTGTCCTCTGGTTCCTGTCCTCTGGTTCCTGTCCTCTGGTTCCTGTCCTCTGGTTCCTCTCCTCTGGTTCCTGTCCTCTGGTTCCTGTCCTCTGGTTCCTGTCCTCTGGTTCCTGTCTGTAGTCTTTGTTGCTTCTTGGTTTGGACCATTTTCTGCTTTATCAGTATTATTATAAACATGATCATTCCTCCAGTGGATTTACGATGGTTCTACTTGGTTCGTACCATGAATCCTCTCTGCTCTGGTCTGGACCAGTGTAAAACCATGAATCCTCTCTGCTCTGGTCTGGACCAGTGTAAAACCATGAATCCTCTCTGCTCTGGTCTGGACCAGTGTAAAACCATGAATCCTCTCTGCTCTGGTCTGGACCAGTGTAAAACCATGAATCCTCTCTGCTCTGGTCTGGACCAGTGTAAAACCATGAATCCTCTCTCCTCTGGTCTGGACCAGTGTAAAACCATGAATCCTCTCTGCTCTGGTCTGGACCAGTGTAAAACCATGAATCCTCTCTGCTCTGGTCTGGACCAGTGTAAAACCATGAACACTGAACTGGAGTCACATTTACAGGTAGAAAAAAGCTCTAAACGACTGTTTCAGAGCGACTTAGGACCTGCTGCAGTTTCCAGAACATTCCAAAGTAAAAACATTTGTACGTCTGTGTTCTACGGTGTCAGGCCGTGTCTGTAGATTGTATTCTTTCTCCTAAATCTTGCTACATTCATAATAAACTGGTAAAAGTTGTGAAGAAGATGACAAAGTCTGGGATCGTGTCTTTAATTCAGACAGAAGACATGTTTTATTGTTGATGGTAGAGCCAGCACGAACACAAACAAAATGCAAGCTAATATCCAGCAGGAGAAGCAGAGACCTCCAATCAGCGACTGCCACAGAGCAGCAGCTTCAGCCTTGAAATAACCAAAACATCAAGTGGAAAAGTACTGGCTCGTGCAAATGTTAGAATGAGTTTGAACTTTAACCACAGTTGCTTCAAAGTGTCATGAAAGACCTAAAGTTGTAATTTCTGAACAACAAGGCATTCATAACACAGCGGCTCATAAGCATTACGTCATAGATCACAATGTCGACTCTTAGAACTTCCACAGATCAGTTTTACGATTAAAAAAGGTTATTATGTATATCAGAGGTGGGCAATTATTTTTTACAGGGGGCCGCATGAGAAACAGAAAATGTTGTGAAAATTTGACCTCAAATATACATAATATTATTTGAAATTGTTACTTATATATACTTATACTTAGTTACACAAGTGACATACAATTGAGGTTGCCTTATAAAAAATGTAGTTCATTCAATAAATGTTTGAAAGTAATACTAAACAAAAATAGTTTTTCACATTTGTGACAAATAGACTTTTTTTAGTCTACATTTTCAGTGAATGTGCCATAAAGAAACCACAATATTGTTTTTTGTGCTCCAAACCACCCAAAACAAGCAAGAAACATATTGAATTGTTATTAAACATCACAAAACTGATTTTGAAAAAGAAAAGGCTTCCAAGTGTCCCAGGTCACGGCCACTTCCTTTACATGCCTCCTTTTGTAATCTGTCACAAAAGGTGGATGTGGTGTTTAAGTGATTTATTCTCAGTGAGAGAAATGGTGTCTCTGCTGGGCTTTAACAAGTGCATCAAGGTCAGGCTGAGTGTCTGAGGTGGAGATGCGAAGCAAGGCTGACAAATGCTCATCAGTGAGAGAGGATCTATACCTGCATTTTGTGAACTTCATAGTTGAAAATGTCTGTTCGCATATGTACGTAGAACCAAACAGAACCAACATCTTCTGGGCATATCTCCTCATGTTTGGAAAGTTCTCCTCCACAAGAGAGGAGTAGAAATCTAGAAGAGGTGTTGAGTTAAAGTGCTCTGCCAACACTGCATCAGACTGCATCAGACTGCATCAGTCTGCATCAGACTGCATCAGACTGCATCAGACTGCATCAGACTGCATCAGTCTGCATCAGACTGCATCAGTCTGCATCAGACTGCATCAGACTGCATCAGACTGCATCAGTCTGCATCAGACTGCATCAGACTGCATCAGACTGCATCAGACTGCATCAGACTGCAGGTCAATCAGTTCCATCTGAACATCACTGGGTGCATTATCTACTCTGCAGGTAAAGGGGGAGGAAATCATCTTCATCTCATCCTCAATAGTTCTGAGATCTTCAAAACGTCTTAAACTCATCATGCAATGCTGTTAACATGGATGAGTACCTGCGGAGGTGATCAGCTGATGGTGTGACTCCTTTCAGTGTTTGCATATGAGTGAGGGAGTTGTTCTCCAGTTGACTTGAGAGAAGTGTCATCTTACTCATGAAAGCTTTCACCAGGCTGTACATTTCATGAACAAAAAGGCCCTTTCCTTGCAGTTTTGTGTTCAGATCATTAATCAGTGCTGTCACATCAACAGAAAATGCTAAATCTGTGATCCAATCCTCATCTGAGAGCTCTGGGAAATCTTTGCCTTTACTTTCACAAAACTCTAAAATCTCTGCTTTCAGGTCCCAAACTCTTTTTAACACTTGACCCAGGCTGAGCCACCTGACAGCTGTGTGGTAGACAATGTCATGATGCTCAGTGTCTCGCTCCTCCAAAAGTGCAACAAACTGTCTGTGATTCAATGCCCGTGACCTGATGAAGTTTACTATTTTAGTAACAACATCAATAACATGGTTAGTTTTTAACACTTACTTGCACAAAACATGTTGGTGTATAATGAAATGCAAAAATATAACTTTCTGATCTGCATTCATTTCAGTCACTTTATCTTGAATACGTTTCAAAAGTCCAACATTTTTCCCTGTAAGATTTGGACAACCATCTGTTGTGACACCTGCCAGTCTCTCCCATTTCAATCCCAGTGTGTCCATGCACGCATTTACCTCCGTGAACAGATCAGCCCCTGTTGTGGTCCCTTTCATCGGCCGCACTGCTGCCAGCTCCTCCGTGATCTTGAAGCCGGTTATCCCACGAACAAATACGAGTAGCTGGGCCGTGTCTCGGACATCACAGCTCTCGTCCAAATCCAAAGAGAAGAGGTCAAAACGTGCCACTTCATGTTGCAATTGAAGCTCCAGATTCTCCTTGTCACCGTTCGCCTGGACAGCGGTACTTGTTCAAATGCTCCTTTTTTCTCCGTGCATATTAGCGCAGCAGAGTCCACCAAGCACTCTTTAACAAATTCTCCCTCTGCAAATGGTTTACTGTTTTTGGCAATCTTGTGGGAAATCACAAAGCTGGTCCTCGTTGCTGCATGCCTGGTTGCATAGCGCTTGGTGAAAACGTCTTGTTGCTTTTTCAGTGCAGCTAGCAAAGTTTTCGATGTCCGCGCCATTTCAGCATCATTTAAGTTTTTGTATTTCTCTGCGTGCTTCGTCTGATAATGCCGACTCACATTGTACTCCTTAAACACGGCAACTTGCTCCTCGCAAACTAAACAAACAGCGTTAGCTCCAACTTCAGCAAATAAATACTTAGCAGTCCAATGTTTGTTGAAAATCCTGCATTCGGTATCTACCTTTCTTTTTTTAGCATGGGATGACATTGTCGAGGGCGCAGAAAATGCCAAAAAATCATACTTATATTGAAATGAGTCGCGGGCCGGATTAAATAGCTTGGCGGGCCGGACCTGGCCCCCGGGCCTTATTTCGCCCAGGTCTGATGTATATGATGCAATATTTCTTTCAATCATTCCTTTATTTTGAACTAAGCAGTCGATATTAAAGTTCCGTAAATCAATTCTGTCTACCCCCCTTTCCCCCTCCTCCTCTTCTCACTCATTCAGATGGGAGGCTCGAGGCGACTATATAGACTTAGTATCACAGTCAAATCGCAGCTCTGAATATAAACCACACATGCACAGATTTAGCTCTTACCTGTTATGAAATGGTCCGAACAGACCTTATTGTGCCGTTTTTCAGGGGGTTAGGGTTGAATCCCTCTCGATACTCGCCAACTAAAGAGTTATTTTCTCCGTCGAGAGTCGCTCCCCTGACTCGTAATAGCCTTTGGAATGTCCCCACAATCTGCACGGTTACTGTTCCCCCAAACGATGCAGGCAGTCGGCATGTTTTAGCACAAAAAAAGTGATGTGCTACGCTTTGTTTACCTACGACTATCGACGGCTAGACTTCCAAGATGGCGCACTGCAGAATTGTGGGTAGTGCGTCACGTCATCGGAAAATCATCTATAGATCCATGAGTGTATGGCACCTCTATATCGCCCCCTGTGGCTCAGCAGGTCATTACCTCAATGAAGATCCTGATGGGAGAGGACAGGACACCGCTCTGTAAGTGAAGCTACAAGATATTACCTTTTCACAGCCCTAACCCTTTGACAGGATTTAGATTGGACATCACAGCACAGAGCATGTTAGCATGCACGTATGGAGAGAGCTGTATCGTTAAAACATATTTAGAATATCTGTCTTCTATCTCCGCTGATCCACCATCAGAATTACAAATGATCAATCTCTATTGTTTATTCCCAAAACAAAACAGGCATAATTCTATTAGAAACAAGACCATGTGGTGAATAGATCAGGTGACCTCTGGCCTGGGACCACTTTAGTGAGTGCCCCCTGCTCATGGAGTGGTTCTTCCATGTGTCACTGTGTCCCCAGTCCCCCTCGCAGGGCTCCAGGATGGACACTCTGCACTGCTGGAGACTTACCCTCCACATGAAGGCCACACTCAGGGAAAACTCAGGGTGAGATGGAGGGGGATCATCTGAGACCCATGATGACCCTAGTCCTCTCTGCACTCGACCCACATGAACCCAGTGAGCCCCAGGCCCTGCGCGACTGCACCAACAGCCATAATAATGAGATTCTTCATGAGAAACTCCCCGTCTCTGACTCAGAGGTTCAAAATGAACAATTTAGGAATATTGAAACATTTCTTAGGAATGGATTTTGAACAAACTAATGGACAAGTCAAGATGTCACAAGAGGGATATGTGAAAAAGATTTTTAGAAAGGGTTGAAATGCAAAATGAGAAACTCCTTCAGAACCAATTCCAAAACTTGATTATACAGAAAATGAAAAAATGTTAAAACAGCCCCGACAACACAGAGAGGCAGTGGGAAGTATAATTTACTGATCCACTTGCACCAGACCTGACGTCACTTATGTTGTCAGTAAACTTTCTCAACACTTTAGTGAACCAACTGTGGAACACTGGAATACAGTGAAACATGTGTTCAGGGATCTCAAAGGTACTACTGAACAAAGACTATACTTCAAAAAGAACACCACAGAAAAACTTGGTCTAAAAGTTTACTGTGAGGCAAGTTGGGCTCAAACGAGACAGACAGACGTAGCACATCAGGATATTGTGCCAGTCTGTGTGAAAGAGATTCATTTCATGGAAAACACAGAAACAACCGACAGTAGCCCTTTCTACATGTCGAGCATATCTCTTTAGCTTCAGCTGTACAGGAGTGTCTTTACAGCTACTTCAAGATTTAGACAGTTACAAATTTGTTAAAACAAAAGTGTTCGAAGACAACTAAGGAACAATAACAATCTCACAGAGGAGAAATGTACATGTCACATTTGGCATGTATAGAACACTCAGATTGTGCAAGAGGAGGAAATGTGCAAACATGTTACATGCAGGATAATTATGTACGACAAAAGTGTCAATTGGAAACAGTGTCAATAGTAGTGCAGGTTTTCAAACAGTGACGATTTAAAGTGACTTGTTGTACAGTCTGACAGCAGTGGGGATAAAGGCCCTGCGGTAGCGCTCCTTCTTACACTGAGGGTGCCTCAGTCTTCCACTGAAGGAGCTCCTCAGCTCCTCTACAGTTCTGTGCAGTGGGAGGTGTTGTTCATGATGGAGGTGGCTTTGACGAGCACCTCCTGTCCCTCACCTGCTCCACAGAGTCCAGGGGCCTCCTGTCCCTCACCTCCTCCACAGAGTCCAGGGGCCTCCTGTCCCTCACCTCCTCCACAGAGTCCAGGGGCCTCCTGTCCCTCACCTCCTCCACAGAGTCCAGGGAGCAGCCCAGAGTGGAGCTGGCCCTCCTGACCAACTTGTTTTAGTCTGTTTCTGTCTGGCTCTGTGCTGCCCGAGGCCCAGCACACAGCAGCGTAGTATATGGCAGAGGCTACCACAGAGTCATAAAAAATTATGTTCAGCAGCGTGTGGGGAAAGTGGTTTTCTCCCGAAGTCAATGATCATCTCCTTGGTCTTACTGGTGTTCAAGCACAAGTGGTTGCGCTCACACCAGTCGACAAAGTCCTTGATAACCGACCGATATTCCAGTTCGTTCCCCTCAGACACACAGCCCACGATGGTGGAGTCGTTGGAGAACTTCTGCAGGTGACAGCTGTGTGTGTCGTGTGTGGGTCTGAAGTGTAGATGGTGAAGAGAAACGGTGAGAGGACAGTGCCCTGAGGGGCCCCAGTGCTGCAGACGACCACCTCAGACTCACAGCTGCGCAGCCGCATGTACTGTGGTCGGTCTGAGAGGTAGTCGATGGTCCATGCAGTGAGGCTACTGTCCACTCCATCTTCCTGCGACCTCCATCTTACCCGTGACCCCCCCGCAGCAGTACGGCCATGGTGTTGAAACCTGTTCTGAAGTAAACCATTGAAATGAACAGCCGTGTGTGCGTTGTTCCTGAGCTACCGTAAATATAGCCACCTACATACTACAAATTGGCGACGAGGTGTGGAAGAGAAACTTTTTTTTATTTTTTTTTATCATCGAGTACCTGCGTGAAAGTTTTTTTTTTCTCTCTACGAGTTGTGTTGAGTCATCCACGCAGCCGAGGCTATGCTAGTTGGTGCAAGCCCTCTGACTAGAGTTGCTAAAGTATGAGCAGCAGCGGATCAGAACCAGAAGAAAGGGTAAAAGAACCAGAAAAACGCACCATGGCGGGAACTAATTGGCGGTATGGAACCATTTGAGGAATCCGGTGAGATTTGGACGTACATTGAACGTTTTGAAAACTATGTCCTGGCAAATGAGATAAATGAAGCAAAAAAAGTGCCGGTCCTGCTAAGTGTGATTGGCCCAAAGACGTATGGATTGTTACGCAGTCTAATTGCTCCTGCCAAGCCGGGGGAGAATAGCTACGATGACATCGTGAAAGTGTTGAAAGGACATTTTGCCCCCAAACCGTTAGTAATTGCGGAGAGGTTCCGTTTCCACAAGAGGAATCAGGAGGAGGGTGAATCTGTCGCTCAGTATGTTGCAGTGCTGAAAGGACTGTCCGAACACTGTGAGTTTGGAGGAAGCACTACGGGATAGGTTTGTCTGTGGACTGAAAAGTGAAACTGTTCAAAAGCGCCTATTGACGGAGGACGATTTAACATTTAATAAACCAGTCAAGTTCGCCGTATCTGCTGAAACGGTGGCACGCGATGCGCAACAGTTGAGCGGCTCTTTCAAAGTGAACGCTGTTCTCTCTCAAACTCCGCAAGCCAAATGTAGACGGTGCGGTAACCCAAATCACACTGATGATGATTGCTGGTATAAGGAGAGAGACTGTTATCAGTGTGGTAAGAAAGGCCACATTGGGCGCACGTGCAAAAGTAAATACAAGAATGACTTGTCAAAGAGAGGAATTACAGGCAGTGGCGGCCGGCCAATAGAGGGCGCTAGGGCGCCGCCCCACCACTCACAACTTGCCATGTTACCTTGAATAAAACGTTAAAAAAAAATAATAACATTAAAATATTTCGAAATTTATGTGTGTTTTATTTCAGATGTGGAAGAAATACTTTATAGTTTATGCTGATTTGGATTGATTAAGCTCATCAGCGTTGTCTGTGTCGGACTGAGGACGTATTTCCGCCTCAGGGCGCAAAAGATTGCGCCCTGAGCCGTCTATGGACTCTCGTTAAAAGTTGTACATGCGCAGTAGCTCCTCTTCAATGCAAGAGATAAGACGATTTGGGGGCGCAGGAGAAGTGCGCCCTGAGGGGGCGGGGTCGCCCGCGACCTGTACTGTCACTGTCTGTGACGTCCGTTTACAGTGATTGACAGGTCAAGCTGTGGGAGTTTGAGACGAACGTAAAGAGACGCAAAATGGAGAACGAGAAAAATAATAATTCAGTTAGATCACTCAAAACAATACCGTTTGAGAGAAGATCATACCAGGAGAAGGTTGAGGTAAAGAGCTTGGACCTGATCAGCCAAATATTACCATTAGTCAGCAGTCCAGCGACAGGGGGAGACGGTACACTCGTACTTTTTCCAGGACCTGGTTCAGCGCCAAATCTTGGCTAGCAGCATGTAGCGAGGCTAATGCTTTATTTTGCTTTCCATGCCTCTTGTTTCAAACATCAGGATCTGACCCAGCATGGATCAAGACAGGTATGACTGATCTGAAGCACTTTTTAGAAAAGGCAAAGAAGCATGAGCAGACTGGTATCCACATGCAAAATGCCCCTCAAATTAGCTATGTTTGGGAAGATAAATATTTCATCCCAGCTGGATGAAAGCTACAGGGTAGGGATCAGAAAGCACAATGAGGAGGTTGACAAGAATAGGCACATCCTATCAAAAATAATAGACTGTGTCAAATTCTGTGGTGCATTTATATCTAGTCATTCATATTCATAGCCCCCCCAGTAGAAAATTCCACCAGCCGCCACTGTTTACAGGGATGGAAAAACTGAGTTAAAAGGGAAAAGCCACACATCCTAGTACAGCGCAAGAGATAAAAAAAGGAAAGTGCACCGTGTGGAGGCTCGCGACAATGACAGTACAAGTGAAGAGACGACATCTGATTCTGATAATGAAATGCCACTGTATGCATTATCTAGCAAGGGAAAATATTCACGTATATCTGTAATTCCTAAAGTAAATGGTAAGAAAATGGAAATGGAATTAGGACACAGGGGCTGCTTTATATATATAATTTATTATTCGAACGAATATTAGGCAAAAATTCTTAATTATTTAATGCCTGTAAATAAAATGGTTAGTCCCAAAGGGGTCCTGTTGGCTAGGCGGATACCAGCTAAGCTAGCTAGTTCAAAAACTCTCTCAAACTACATAAAAACTGAACAAAGAATTCTGAGCATCAGCGGTGAGTGACCCATTTATACCGAACCTAAATCCATAATCAGATCCTCTTCAATATGTGTCCTAAAATGTTCGTTTCATGTTAATGATTTTGCGCTAGAGGAAGTAGCCGCAGCTAGCCTCTCTGCACAGACCATGGATCTATAACACAGACAGGCTCCTGCTGAAAGCCTGTTGTACTTGCTGAATAATATTAGGAGCTGTTTAATAAATTATAATTAAATATTCAAAATATATTTGAATATTTTAAATTACTAAACAAACAATTTCGAATGATTTTTGTACAAAAGTCAAAGACCTATTACAGATTGGTGCAGTCACGATTTGAATTCACTCATTCCTGTTTTTCTCGAGGGAATCAATGAAAAAAACTTCTCTGGGCATGAAGGCCAAACAGCTGTAATCATGTTTAAAACAAGAGAAAAGTCATAAAGTGTAATATGGGCCCTTTAAAGCTCAGAACCGGGTCAGAACATCCGGAATGCTCTTGTTGCACATTCTGCCACGTTCTAAATGCTGTCAGTGAAGAAAGTTAAAATCAGGCTCAAGACACTCCTTTTTATTATTAATTATTGCATTTTCCATATTCTATTTTAGTTCAGTTTTATTGTTGTTATGGACTATTTATTAATATGTATCGTGACCTTTTAGTCTGAAGTTTTACATGTTTTACTTGTTATAGTATTGTTTTCAGTATCCCCAGTGTTTCCTCTACAGGAGCCCTCTGCACTGGGAGCATTGGGCCTCATTCACCAATAACTTTGAAAGAAACTTCTCACATTTCTTCTCAAGTTGTTCTTAAGTAGATTCGAAGAAGACCCTACGTGGGTTTCATCAACGCGCTCATAAGCCTGCTGAATTGTTCGCAGTTTTGTTCTCTTAGCTTGATGAATGCCAATTTCCTCGTAGTAGAGCACGCGTCCGGTGCTTCATTAGCATAGGTACTTAGCATAGGTAACCGCCCACTAATGACCATAAAAGGCCCTGGCAACACGGCCCTGCAGACGTCAGAGGAAAACAGCAAGTAAAGCAGAGTATACACGGAGCAAAAGAGTCACCCTTTTTCCTTCTTTTTGTCAGACCGAGAATAAAGTCATAAAATGTTGACTTAAAGTCGAAATATTATGAGATAAAGTCGAACTAGCCAATTATTAGATCAATCAATAAGAATATGAGATGAATGTCAAAATGGTTATAAAGATTAATTTAAAAATATTATGTTTTAATTTAAAAATGAATCTCAAAATATTTTGGACCCTGGGAGGAGATCAAGCGCTGAGACCAATGTAGACCCGAGGAGGAGACTGGAGGAGAGACCAGCGCGGACCACGAGGAGAGAACCGCATAGACTGAGACCACGCGGACCGAGGAGCGACCGCATAGACTGAGACCAGCGCGGACCGATGAGAGACCGCATAGACTGAGACCAGCGCGGACCGAGGAGAGACCGCATAGACTGAGACCAGCGCGGACCGAGGAGAGACCGCATAGACTGAACCATCGCGGACCGAGGAGAGACCGCATAGACTGAGACCAGCGCGGACCGAGAGAGACCGCATAGACTGAGACCAGCGCGGACCGAGGAGAGACCGCATAGACTGAGACCAGCGCGGACCGAGGAGAGACCGCAAGACTGAGACCAGCGCGGACCGAGGAGAGACCGCATAGAATTGAGACCAGCGCGGACCGAGAGAGACTCGCATAGACTGAGACCACGCGACCAAGGAGAGACCGCATAGACAGACCACGCGCGGACCGAGGGAGAGACCGCATAGACTGAGACCAGCGCGGACCAAGGAGAGACCGCATAGATTGAGACCAGCGCGGACCGAGGAGAGACCCGAGGACCATATGGAGAGACCAGTGCGGTCCACCTGCAGCAGCAGTACATATGCCATGTTTGTAGGCCAATGTGGATGGAGTATGTCTCCTAAAATAGGATGGGGTCACTAACGGCCTGATTCCAATGTATTTGAAAAAGTGTTGGCACATTCAGGTTTACAAATATTTTAAATGACTAAATTACCATTAAACAATGAAATAAATAAATAAATACATCAATATGACAAAATATCACTGTAATGTGTTTTGTGTTTTAATTATTGAACTTCATAAACATCAGCGTGCAACATGTCGGCACTGAATGTTGCGTAAGTGCTCCTGAGGACTCGTTTAGGATTTGTACTTAACCAAAGAAAATTCTGGTTACGAGAACATTTCATGAATGCCACAATCTTCGTAAAATCCTCGTAAGTAGGATTTACGCACAAAGTGTTCGTAAGAACCGTTCGTGAATGACGGCCATTGTTTTAACCAAACTTTTTAAATAAAATGTCATTGACGTATTGTGTGTGTGTCATGCTGTACCAACTACAGCGATGTACAAACACATGCTCAGCGCCTGCTCTCAGATCAGATCAGATCAGATCAGATTCAGCCTCGGCGGCACGGTGGCTGAGTGGATAGCACTCTCGCCTCTCAGCAAGAAGGTCCTGGGTTCAAATCCCGGTCGAACCAGGGCCTTTCTGAGTGGAGTTTGCATGTTCTCCCCGTGTCTGCGTAGTTTCCTCCGGGTACTCCGGTTTCCCCTACCACTAAAAATATGTCCAATAGTTCTAGCATGTGCCTCCTGTACTGGCGACCCCGCGCGCATCTCTGTGTGGAGTGAGAGACAAGTGCCCAAAAATTAACAATTGTAAACCGCTTTGAGGCTCAGATCTGCAGTGAAAAGGCGGTATATAAATAAAGATTACTTACTAATTACTTACTAATATACAGTGCCTTGCGAAAGTATTCGGCCCCCTTGAACCTTTCAACATTTTGCCACATTTCAGGCTTCAAACATAAAGATAACATTTAAAATTTTTGTCAATAATCAACAACAAGTGGGACACAATCGTGAAGTGGAACGAAATGTATTGGATAATGAAAAGTGGGGTTTGCAATATTGGGGGGGGGGGGGGGGGGGGGGGAAACTGGTGTTCTGGGTGTGAGTTGAGTTAGAATAGACAGTGTCGGCCTTGAGTAGCCCATGTGTGGGTGGTGGAATGTGAAGGACAAAGATAGCGCAGGTGCCTGCAAACATTGGAGACAAAACAACGACATTCCTTTGTGTGGAAATTTGTATAAGCACACCTATTCTCATAGACTACAGCCATAAGAAATGTTTATTTAGAAAAGTATATCACATGTGGAATTAATGCTGTATGTGATCTCTATCACAAACCAGGAAATGGACGTTCGGGTTGTATGAAAGAGCAATAATTAGACTAATAATGAGCATGAAACTGTTACAGGACGAACATGTGTTAAAACACAAGAGCAGGGAACAGGTTATTCTCAGCCCGGGTTCGAATCCCGGTCGGACCAGGACCTTTCTGAGTAGAGTTTGCATGTGCTCCCTGTGTTTGTGTAGGTTTCCTCCGGGTACTCGGTTTCCCTACCACTAAAAACCTGTAACAATAGGTCTGGCATGGTGCCTCCTGTACTGGCTCCGCTCACATCTCTGTGTGGAGTGAGAGAAATAATGCCCAAAAGTAACAATTGTAAACCTCTTTGTGACTCTGGTCTGTGAAAGGTGGTTTATAAATAAAGATTACTTACTTACTTCATTGGAATAAAACTACACTTTTTATAAATTACTTTTTATTACATGGATTTATACATAATTCCCCATGTTTCAATGAGACAAAACAACATTTTTCATTTATATAAACTACAGCTTGTGCCAAATTCACTCAAACAGATTGTGTGTGTTTTAAAGTCTGAAGTGTAATGACCACTGCGCTGACGGCCTGGATGTTCTGAAGGCACTGAGCTTCTGTCTGCTCTTCTATGACACACACTTCATATTTACACATTTGTTTTAATTATCAATATTTCTTGTCCTCGAGAGACGCTTCGTCGTGGACTCGGTGCTACAGTTATTTATACAATAAAAGACAAATATTCAAGAATAAAAGGTAACAATATAAACAGGAGATGAACGTGTTTGAAGAACTCTGTTAATGTTAGGGTTAAAGTAAACAGATGAATGAATGTCCATTGAACAGACAGTAAAAGATGCTAGCGGCCTGTGGCTAATGCTAACGCTAACAGCACTAGCATAACACACCCTCACCGATCGCACGAGCAGGCAGCTGCGGTGGTAGAAGGAGCTCTACACGGGGATCATGCAGATGTTCCCTCTGCTCCAATCAGCTGCTGACTTTATGAAGCACAAAGATCAAAGATCGTTGTTAGGACAGATGCTATGGAGAATAAACGATGCTCTCATCGTTGGTATCTTTTAGCCTTGTCTGGGCATATTTATTGTTGAACAACTTGGCAGCACAGGGAGCATGAGCCATAGAGGAAGTTAGCGACAGAACAACATGACTACATCCTGTAGCGCCTTCAAAATAAGAGCTTTCTGTTTAGACAGGGAGTAAGAGCGAATATAATATAATATTATCTAACAACCCCACTCGCTGTGGGGGTGTTAGAACAAACATTTTCTTTGGAAAAACGTTTAGACTTTTGTCAAAAGATCAGCTATGATTTCATCAGTAGGACAAACATTCCAAAACCACTCTTCCCTGTGGCTACAACACCTATGATGAAGTGATCTAATTTCACAAACCGCCGTAGTTCTCACTATGTAAACTGCAATAATTGAAGGTCAGGAAATTTTAAATGTAGACCAAATAAAATATTTGGGAGTAATTCTTGACCCAAATTTAAATTTCAAAAAACATATTAAAAAACTAACCAATACGTTGAAATTTAATATGACGATATATTAGGAACTCTCTGACTATAGATGCTTCTAATTTATATCTAAATGCGATGATAGTTCCGCACTTCCGTTATTGCATGACGAGTTGGTCGCAGGCATGTAAAACAGCATTAAGGCCCTGGAATCATTGTACAAAAGGTTTCTTAAGGTTCATGACAAGAAATCTCGGCTCTATCACCACTGTCATATTCTTAAAAGCATAGTATATTGAGTTTTGAAAATATAATCATATATTCAAATCTCTGTCTGTTGTTCAAGATAATTAATGGTACTGCAGCTCCTCCATTAAAAAAAGTTTATTTCACTGAGCTCAGAAATTTCATCTCGAGCCACTCGATCGACTGTTCGGGGCGAGTGTAGGATTCCTCAGTGTAAAACAGCGTTCGGCAGCTCAGCCTTCTCCAGTGTGGCCATCAGACACTGGGATATGTTGCCAACAGAGCTGACCACATGTGTACATTTTAACACTTTTTCACACCAGGCCAAAAAATGGCTTCTTTTAAAACAAACCTGTTCCCATAAAGTAGTGTAAATTGGTTTCATTTTAATGCTGTTTAGGGGGAAATGTATTTTTAACATGTGTAATTTTCTAAAACTTTGTATGTTGACATCAGTCTGCCCAGGGACTGCAGTGGAAATTAGCACAAGTGCTACAACCTGGTACAATGCATCTCTCCTTTCTGAGGTTAATGTATATTGTACACTGTCCCTGTTCAAATAAATAAATAAATGTTGACCTCCCACCTGATGAAGACCATGGAGCGGCTCAAATTTGTCGCCTACAGACCCAACATCGGTAAACTGTCTAAATCTTGAAGTGGCTGTAAAGACACTCCTGTACAGCTGAAGCTAAAGAGATATGCTCGACATGTAGAAAGGGCTACTGTCGGTTGTTTTTGTGTGTTTTCCATGAAATGAGTGAACTCTTTCACATAGACTGGCACAATATCCTGGTGTGCTACGTCTGTCTGTCTCGTTTGAGCCCAACTTGCCTCACAGTAAACTTTTAGACCAAGTTTTTCTGTGGTATTCTTTTTGAAGTATAGTCTTTGTTCAGTAGTACCTTTGAGATCCCTGAACACATGTTTCACTGTATTCCAGTGTTCCACAGTTGGTTCACTAAAGTGTTGAGAAAGTTTACTGACAACATAAGTGACGTCAGGTCTGGTGCAAGTGGATCAGTAAATTATACTTCCCACTGCCTCTCTGTGTTGTCGGGGCTGTTTTGACATTTTTGCATTTTCTGTATAATCAAGTTTTGGAATTGGTTCGGAAGGAGTTTTTCTCGTTTTGCATTTCAAACCTTTCTAAAAATCTTTTTCACATATCCCTCTTGTGACATTTTGACTTGTCCATTAGTTTGTTCAAAATCCATTCCTAAGAAATGTTTCAATATTCCTAAATCTTTCATTTTGAACCTCTGAGTCAGAGACGAGGAGTTTCTCATGAAGAACCTCATTATTATGGCTGTTGGTACAGTCGCGCAGGGCCTGGGGCTCACTGGGTTCATGTGGGTCGAGTGCAGAGAGGACTAGGGTCATCATGGGTCTCAGATGATCCCCCTCCATCACACCCTGAGTTTTCCCTGAGTGTGGCCTTCATGTGGAGGGTAAGTCTCCAGCAGTGCAGAGTGTCCTTCCTGGAGCCCTGCGAGGGGGACTGGGGACACAGTGACACATGGAAGAACCACTCCATTGAGCAGGGGGCACTCACTAAAGTGGTCCCAGGTCACCTGATCTATTCACCACAGAGGTTTCTAATAGAATTATGCCCTGAATAAACAATAGAGATTGATCATTGTAATTCTGATGGTGGATCACGGAGATAGAAGACACATGAGCTCTCTCCATTGTTCTAATAGAATTATGCCAGTTTTGTTTTGGGAATAAACAATAGAGATTAGAGGTGATCATCTTGTAATTTTTCTGATGTGGATCTTGGAATCTAGCGAGATAGTCGAAGGTAAACAAAGATAGCTCACATCACTTTTTTTTGTGCTAAAACATGCCGACTGCCTGCATCGTTTGGGGGAACAGTAACCGTGCAGATTGTGGGGACATTCCAAAGGCTATTACGAGTCAGGGGAGCGACTCTCGACGGAGAAAATAACTCTTTAGTTGGCGAGTATCGAGAGGGATTCAACCCTAACCCCCTGAAAAACGGCACAATAAGGTCTGTTCGGACCATTTCATAACAGGTAAGAGCTAAATCTGTGCATGTGTGGTTTATATTCAGAGCTGCGATTTGACTGTGATACTAAGTCTATATAGTCGCCTCGAGCCTCCCATCTGAATGAGTGAGAAGAGGAGGAGGGGGAAAGGGGGGGTAGACAGAATTGATTTACGGAACTTTAATATCGACTGCTTAGTTCAAAATAAAGGAATGATTGAAAGAAATATTGCATCATATACATCAGACCTGGGCGAAATAAGGCCCGGGGGCCAGGTCCGGCCCGCCAAGCTATTTAATCCGGCCCGCGACTCATTTCAATATAAGTATGATTTTTTGGCATTTTCTGCGCCCTCGACAATGTCATCCCATGCTAAAAAAAGAAAGGTAGATACCGAATGCAGGATTTTCAACAAACATTGGACTGCTAAGTATTTATTTGCTGAAGTTGGAGCTAACGCTGTTTGTTTAGTTTGCGAGGAGCAAGTTGCCGTGTTTAAAGGAGTACAATGTGAGTCGGCATTATCAGACGAAGCACGCAGAGAAATACAAAAACTTAAATGATGCTGAAATGGCGCGGACATCGAAAACTTTGCTAGCTGCACTGCAAAAGCAACAAGACGTTTTCACCAAGCGCTATGCAACCAGGCATGCAGCAACGAGGACCAAGGGACCACATTTGCAGAGGGAGAATTTGTTAAAGAGTGCTTGGTGGACTCTGCTGCGCAGGGGCTGATCTGTTCACGGAGGTAAATGCGTGCATGGGACACACTGGGATTGAAATGGGAGAGACTGGCAGGTGTCACAACAGATGGTTGTCCAAATCTTACAGGGAAAAATGTTGGACTTTTGAAACGTATTCAAGATAAAGTGACTGAAATGAATGCAGATCAGAAAGTTATATTTTTGCATTTCATTATACACCAACATGTTTTGTGCAAGTAAGTGTTAAAAACTAACCATGTTATTGATGTTGTTACTAAAATAGTAAACTTCATCAGGGCACGGGCATTGAATCACAGACAGTTTGTTGCACTTTTGGAGGAGCGAGACACTGAGCATCATGACATTGTTTACCACACAGCTGTCAGGTGGCTCAGCCTGGGTCAAGTGTTAAAAAGAGTTTGGGACCTGAAAGCAGAGATTTTAGAGTTTTGTGAAAGTAAAGGCAAAGATTTCCCAGAGCTCTCAGATGAGGATTGGATCACAGATTTAGCATTTTCTGTTGATGTGACAGCACTGATTAATGATCTGAACACAAAACTGCAAGGAAAGGGCCTTTTTGTTCATGAAATGTACAGCCTGGTGAAAGCTTTCATGAGTAAGATGACACTTCTCTCAAGTCAACTGGAGAACAACTCCCTCACTCATATGCAAACACTGAAAGGAGTCACACCATCAGCTGATCACCTCCGCAGGTACTCATCCATGTTAACAGCATTGCATGATGAGTTTAAGACGTTTTGAAGATCTCAGAACTATTGAGGATGAGATGAAGATGATTTCCTCCCCCTTTACCTGCAGTGTAGATAATGCACCCAGTGATGTTCAGATGGAACTGATTGACCTGCAGTCTGATGCAGTCTGATGCAGTCTGAGCAGTCTGATGTCTGTGCTCTGATGCAGTCTGATGCAGTCTGATGCAGTCTGATGCAGTCTGATGCAGTCTGATGCAGTCTGATGCAGTCTGATGCAGTCTGATGCAGTCTGATGCAGTCTGATGCAGTCTGATGCAGTCTGATGCAGACTGATGATGCAGTCTGATGCAGTCTGATGCAGTGTTGGCAGAGCACTTTAACTCAACACCTCTTCTAGATTTCTACTCCTCTCTTGTGGAGGAGAACTTTCCAAACATGAGGAGATATGCCCAGAAGATGTTGGTTCTGTTTGGTTCTACGTACATATGCGAACAGACATTTTCAACTATGAAGTTCACAAAATGCAGGTATAGATCCTCTTTCACTGATGAGCATTTGTCAGCCTTGCTTCGCATCTCCACCTCAGACATTCAGCCTGACCTTGATGCACTTGTTAAAGCCCAGCAGAGACACCATTTCTCTCACTGAGAATAAATCACTTAAACACCACATCCACCTTTTGTGACAGATTACAAAAGGAGGCATGTAAAGGAAGTGGCCGTGACCTGGGACACTTGGAAGCCTTTTTTTTTTTTCAAAATCAGTTTTGTGATGTTCAATAACAATTCAATATGTTTCTTGCTTGTTTTGATTGGTTTGGAGCACAAAAAACAATATTGTGGTTTCTTTATGGCACATTCACTGAAAATGTAGACTAAAAAAAGTCTATTTGTCACAATGTGAAAAACTATTTTTGTTTAGTATTACTTTCAAACATTTATTAAATGAACTACATTTTTTATAAGGCAACCTCAATTGTATGTCACTTGTGTAACTAAGTATAAGTATATATAAGTAACAATTTCAAATAATATGATGTATATTTGAGGTCAAATTTTCACAACATTTTCAGTTTCTCATGCGGCCCCCTGTAAACAATAATTGCCCACCCCTGATATACATAATAACCTTTTTTAATCGTAAAACTGATCTGTGGAAGTTCTAAGAGTCGACATTGTGATCTATGACGTAATGCTTATGAGCGCTGTGTTATAAATGCTTGTTGTTCAGAAATGACAACTTTAGGTCTTTCATGACACTTTGTAGCAACTGTGGTTAAAGTTCAAACTCATTCTAACATTTGCACGAGCCAGTACTTTTCCACTTGATGTTTTGGTTATTTCAAGGCTGAAGCTGCTGCTCTGTGGCAGTCGCTGATTGGAGGTCTCTGCTTCTCCTGCTGGATATTAGCTTGCATTTTGTTTGTGTTCGTGCTGGCTCTACCATCAACAATAAAACATGTCTTCTGTCTGAGTTAAAGACACGATCCCAGACTTTGTCATCTTCTTCACAACTTTTACCAGTTTATTATGAATGTAGCAAGATTTAGGAGAAAGAATACAATATACAGACACGGCCTGACACTGTAGAACACAGACGTACAAATGTTTTTACTTTGGAATGTTCTGGAAACTGCAGCAGGTCCTAAGTCGCTCTGAAACAGTCGTTTAGAGCTTTTTTCTACCTGTAAATGTGACTCCAGTTCAGTGTTCATGGTTTTACACTGGTCCAGACCAGAGCAGAGAGGATTCATGGTTTTACACTGGTCCAGACCAGAGCAGAGAGGATTCATGGTTTTACACTGGTCCAGACCAGAGCAGAGAGGATTCATGGTTTTACACTGGTCCAGACCAGAGCAGAGAGGATTCATGGTTTTACACTGGTCCAGACCAGAGCAGAGAGGATTCATGGTTTTACACTGGTCCAGACCAGAGCAGAGAGGATTCATGGTTTTACACTGGTCCAGACCAGAGCAGAGAGGATTCATGGTTTTACACTGGTCCAGACCAGAGCAGAGAGGATTCATGGTTTTACACTGGTCCAGACCAGAGCAGAGAGGATTCATGGTTTTACACTGGTCCAGACCCGAGCAGAGAGGATTCATGGTTTTACCCTGGTCCAGACCCGAGCAGAGAGGATTCATGGTTTTACACTGGTCTAGACCAGAGCAGAGAGGATTCATGGTTTTACCCTGGTCCAGACCCGAGCAGAGAGGATTCATGGTTTTACACTGGTCTAGACCAGAGCAGAGAGGATTCATGGTTTTACACTGGTCCAGACCAGAGCAGAGAGGATTCATGGTTTTACCCTGGTCCAGACCAGAGCAGAGAGGATTCATGGTTTTACACTGGTCCAGACCAGAGCAGAGAGGATTCATGGTTTTACACTGGTCCAGACCAGAGCAGAGAGGATTCATGGTTTTACACTGGTCCAGACCAGAGCAGAGAGGATTCATGGTTTTACCCTGGTCCAGACCAGAGCAGAGAGGATTCATGGTTTTACACTGGTCCAGACCAGAGCAGAGAGGATTCATGGTTTTACACTGGTCCAGACCAGAGCAGAGAGGATTCATGGTTTTACACTGGTCCAGACCAGAGCAGAGAGGATTCATGGTACGAACCAAGTAGAACCATCGTAAATCCACTGGAGGAATGATCATGTTTATAATAATACTGATAAAGCAGAAAATGGTCCAAACCAAGAAGCAACAAAGACTACAGACAGGAACCAGAGGACAGGAACCAGAGGACAGGAACCAGAGGACAGAGACCAGAGGAGAGGAACCAGAGGAGAGGAACCAGAGGACAGGAACCCGAGGACAGGGACCAGAGGACAGAGACCAGAGGAGAGGAACCAGAGGACAGGAACCAGAGGACAGGGACCAGAGGACAGGGACCAGAGGACAGGGACCAGAGGAGAGGAACCAGAGGAGAGGAACCAGAGGACAGGAACCCGAGGACAGGGACCAGAGGACAGAGACCAGAGGAGAGGAACCAGAGGACAGGAACCAGAGGACAGGAACCAGAAGACAGGGACCAGAGGACAGGAACCAGAGGACCGGGACCAGAGGACAGGAACCAGAGGACAGGGACCAGAGGACAGGAACCAGAGGACAACATGATAAGACTGCCCGACCCGCCTGCTTCATCAGAAAACAGAAAAAGGCCCAAATTTCATTTTTTTTTTGGGATGTCAGAAACGAAAATCGAATGAACGCAAGGTACACGGACCGTCATGGGCCGGCAGGATTGTTTTTAACCAAACTGTAAAGCACTTTTGTATGAAAAGCGCTTTATAAATAAAATTTGATAGATTGATTGATTGAAAATACCTAAGACACCTAAAAGATAGAGTGTAAAATACTGTGTAACACGAGTTATGAAGGTCGTGGTGTGTTCCTCTCGAGCCAGTGCGCGCGCCACTTGGTCAGTTTGTTGTCGTGTGTATGTGTGTATATGTGTGTATGCTCTTACACTGAAGGGTCAAACCGGAAGTGCATTGTTTTTTACCCAATAGATAACGCTGTGCGCTTGAGTCTGATGAGACTGATGAGTTGTGTTTGTTTTTTCAGCAGCTGATTGGAGCAGAGGGAACATCTGCATGATCCCCGTGTAGAGCTCCTTCTACCACCGCAGCTGCTCCTGCTCCGTGCGATCGGTGAGTGTGTGTTATGCTAGTGCTGTTAGCGTTAGCATTAGCCACAGGCCGCTAGCATCTTTTACTGTCTGTTCAATGGACATTCATTCATCTGTTTACTTTAACCCTAATATTAACAGAGTTCCTGGAGCACGTTCACCTCCTGTTTATATATTTTAATCTGGAATGTTTGGTCCATTATTGTATAAACAACTGCAGCACTGAGACCAAGACAAAGTGCCTCTAGGACAAGAAAGTCATTTCTATGTATATCACAATAGAACAAAACTCTCGGTGACAAAACTGTGACTGAGAGGTTGGAACAAATAACTACTAGCATTAGCATTAGCATTATCTCCGACTGTGAACGACACGGTTCTATTCTATGTGTATCGCCCTGAATCACAGCAGCAGTCGTCTCGGAGGACTTTACACAGTTGTCTCTTCGCCAACAACAGATCAGAGAATCAAACGATTAGAACACATGAAATACAATAATAACAAACTCATAGGGAGCAGAGACCACTGTCCAGAAATGTTTATAAAAGTACCACATGATGATCTCCTGACCCGCGGGACAAACATGCTCTGAACCTGTCATTAAAGCAAGAAATTCAGTTTCCACACCAATATGTGAGAGGATACAAAGGAAATAGCACATGTCTAATTTGTGAGTAAATACCACTGCACTTTGCTGTGAAAAAGAAAGTAGCAATAAAATGTTATCTTATGTCAAGATGGCGCCTCGTTCGGTCGCCACGGCTTTTCGGTGCTCTGTTTCTTTTGTTTTTACTTTTTAACTGTGCATCTGGCTGTTCCTACACACGTGAGGAACTTATGAACATCCGACCCACTGTTCCCATGGACCTACTGCCTGTTTTCTAATTCATATTTTAGCCAAAAAAGTGAGGACCCGTAAGAGAGGAAAACGCAGCGGGGTGCTCTCCCCGGCATTTTTCTCTCCAACATACGCTCACTGGGCAATAAGATGGACGAACTCAGCCTGCTCATGAGAAGAAACAAGGACTTCACCACATCCTGTGTCCTCTGCTTCACTGAGACCTGGCTAAATGAGCGGATCCCGGACTGCGCTCTGGAGCTGCAGGGTTTTGGGCTGTTCCGCGCGGATCGCCATTGTGCGCTCTCAGGGAAGAGCAGAGGCGGAGGGCTGTGTTTCTACGTCAATACAAACTGGTGTAACGATGTGACATTGATCTCCAAGCACTGTTCTTCTGCTCTGGAATATCTTTTCATTCATTGTAAACCATTTTACTCCCCTCGTGAATTTGTTTCATTCATTCTTGCCTCTGTTTACATACCGCCATGCGCGGACGCGCGCGAGGCTCAGCGCGCACTCGCAGAGCAAGTACTGTGTATGGAATGTTTATACCCGGACTCTCTAATTATTATCCTGGGGGATTTTAATAAGGGAAACTTGAGCCAGGAATTACCCAAATACAGACAGTTTATCAAATGCCCGACCAGAGAGGAGAACACTCTGGATCACTGTTACACTACTGTGGGCAGAGCTTACCACGCTCTCCCCCGCGCAGCCCTGGGCCTTTCAGACCACTCCATGATCCATCTGGTTCCTGCTTACAGACAGAGACTAAAACTCTCGAAACCCGTAGTGAGGAGCTCCAAAGTGTGGTCTGATGAAGCTGTGGAAGAGCTGGACCATGTGTCTCTGGCCACTCTGAGACACTGCGCCAGTGAGCTTACTCCTGTGTTCACTGACATTTTCAACTCCTCTCTGCAGTCCTGCCATGTCCCGGCCTGCTTTAAATCCTCCATCATTGTCCCCGTCCCGAAGAAGCCCAGGATCACAAGACTCAATGAATACAGACCTGTAGCACTTAGTCTGTCGTCATGAAGTCATTTGAGCGCCTGGTCCTCTCCCATCTCTCCTGGACCCCCTGCAGTTCACCTACAGAGCCAACAGATCTGTAGACGACGCCATTAACCTGGCCCTCCACCACATCCTACAGCACCTGGACTCCCCGGGGACCTACAACACCATCCTGCCATCCCTGCTCCAGGACAAGCTCTCCCAGCTCAACGTGCCCGATTCCACCTGCAGGTGGATCACTGACTTCCTGACGGACAGGAAGCAGCGAGTGTGCGTCTGGGGAAGAATGTCTCGGACTCTCGGATTATAAATACAGGAGCCCCACAGGGCTGTGTTCTTTCTCCCCTGCTCTTCTCCCTGTACACCAACCACTGCACCTCCAGCCACGACTCCGTGAAGCTGATCAAGTTCGCGGACGACACCACCCTCATTGGACTCATCTCTAACAACGATGAGTCTGCCTACAGGATGGAGGTGGACCGGCTGGTGTCCTGGTGCAGTGGTAACAACCTGGAGCTGAACGCCCAGAAGACAGTGGAGATGATTGTGGACTTCAGAAAGATCACTGTCCCCCCGCCCCCACCCTCCGTGATGGACTCCCCCATCACCTCTGTGGAGTCCTATCGTTTCCTGGGCACCACCATCACCCAGGACCTCAAGTGGGAGCCGACCATCAGCTCCCTCATCAAGAAGGCCCAGCAGAGGATGTACTTCCTGCGGCAGCTCAGGAAAGCCAAGCTGCCTGTACAGATGTTGGTGCAGTTCTACACGGCCATCTTCGAGTCCATCCTCACCTCCTCCATCACCTCCTCCATCACTGTGTGGTTCGCTGGAGCCACAGTCAGGGACAAACAGAGACTACAGTGCATTGTGCGCTCTGCAGAGAAGGTGATCGGCCACAGCCTCCAATCGCTGCAGGACCTGTACGTCGCCCGAGGCCGGGCTGGTCGTATCACAGCCGACCCCTCTCACCCTGCACATGGACTATTCCAACCACTCCCCTCAGGCAGGAGGCTGCGGTCCATCAGGACTAGAACCTCCCGCCACAAGAACAGTTTCTTCCCCTCTGCTGTTGGACTCTTGAACACTTCTTAACCTGTCCCCCCCGCCCTTTATAAAGTCACTTTACTGCCCATCATACGTCACTTTACTTCACTGTACTGCTGTCACCTTATATTGTGTGCACCATGTGCACTGTATATTGTATATAGTAATTGTAACACTATTTTAATTTTAAATGTATTCCTTAGAAGTGTTTTTTTTTTTATTCTCTCTGACTGTTGCACTGAGCCAAAGCAATTTCCAAGTTACCTCCTGTTACTTACGTGGCAATACAAATGATTCTGATTATCTTAGTAAAATGTACTACTAATTGATGAACCTTTTTGTTTATGCATAGTGTATTTCAATCATGTTTTATCCTAAAACGCCTGAGCACTGAGGATGTGCTTTTATTTATATATGCCAGTTCTGACCAAATGCGTCATTTGACCTGCATGAAATTAAATATCGATTTATAGATAAAGCGTGAAACCTGAACTACGAATATTTCTTTATTTGCTGTAAACAAGTCAAAATGATCCCATACTGCAAAATACTTTCTTTTAGAGGTGTGCTCCATTTTGATACTTTAGAACGAGAGGGGGGTTATTTTTGTTTTACGAGAGCGCTTCATCCCGATGACATTTGCAGAAGCGGCACCTTCAAACACAGTTTGCCGCGCAAACACACCAAATTGCATTCATCCATTCTTCAATCACAGCAACTTTGGGATCTGTAGGTGTACCCCCCACACTGTGCTATGGGCATTAAAGTCCCCACACCAAATAATTCTTCTGCTATCATAGCCTTCAATCGACCAAAGATGTATTAACTCTAATCTGGCGCAAGGATTGTATAAATTAACTACGACCTCAGTTCCTTCCTGTCCCATACTTCAGAAGTCATATATTCCATTTCCTTACCTTTACCTAATAGTCTATATGGGATGTCTTGTTTGACAAAAGTCACACATCCCCCCCTCCACCACGGTCCCTGTCATTCCTTATGACATTATACCCATACAACACAAAGTCCAAAGATGATTTAAGCCACGGTTCCTGAATACAGATTACATCTGGTTTAACATTTAGTTCCCTTACAAAGTTCTTAAAGTCCATCAGACTCCTAGCATTCCATTGAAGGAGAAGCACCATGATTGAGAGAAAAAACATTTTGTTTGCTGACTTGACTGATGTAGGAGGTTGTCCCTCACTTCTTCCCATGTCAGTCCTGTTAATTCCAGGTGATTCACTGCTGCCTTAACAATAAGCTGAATCTTCTCATGTTTTTATTTCACATCAGCTGTGGCGTTTATCACTCCCGCAATGAACGTGACTAATGCAAGCTTGTCAATAACAATAACATTTGTGTCCCTCTTTGACCCTGCGGCGCATCCTGTACCAGTTCAACTTTTCCTAGTAACTCTCACTGCTTCAGCATATTCTTCTTTTCGCTCATATTTTCCTGTTTCATTCTCTCACATCCAGCATTTGCCACACTGTGATTCCCCCACAACTGCAGCACTTTGGTTGAACAGTCTCCGCACTGCCCATATTCATGGTCTCCACCACACCAAGCACATAGGGCTGCAACTA